TAAGCAATTCTAATGCGACAACGCTATTGATTAATTGACAGATTTCTCTTTGTTTCACACTTTTTGTCTCAGTTGTTTGAGAGTTCAACAGTCATATTTACTATAATGTGCAACCTTCTTGTATATTTCTTCTCTCCGCTCTCAACCGTTATAGGGTAAATAATTACTCCTGTGGGTATTTCTATGACTTCCTCTTTCTCTCTCAACTTGTTTTTTATCTTTAATGTCGGTAATAGATTCTGCGACTGTGTTGCAAAGTTAAGATTTTCAAATTAGCAAGTCTACTCAAAAATGGGCTTGTGTCTAATTTCTTTCCCAACTGCATCAGCATCCCTAAATATTTTCAACAAATCTGGGTACTTCATTGTACTAATTTAAAACTCTGAAGAAAGGCCAAAGCTACGCTGTAAGGATATACGGAAATGGTGCATGAAAGATACCAGCTAGGACATAGACATTTGGGTGAGAGGGGGGGGGGGGAATTCAGCTAAATTAGGAGGCAAACAGTAAAAGACGGACTGTTGCTGTTTGTAAAGATGCCAAACGAGCAAACTAGAGAGGAACAATCAGAAAGATAAACACCTTCAGTATTAACAATAATTATACATTTTCTAAGAACACTTGCTGAACAGTTTTTGTTTATAGATATTATAATATTACTTCAAGTCTGGGTTCTGGGGCCCCATTGTCGGGAAAAAAACAATATTAGGACCTACTACCTCCCTAACAAGCATGTCGTAGGAGTCGACTACCTGGGGACATCCTTCGAAGTCGGAGTACATATGCCTGAGAGGCAAAAACTCAACAGTCTGCATACAAATAAGTCAGATCTATAAAAACAGATGTGCACGCAACACTGAGGTTCTGGGAAAAGACTAAAGATATGTCTGGAGGTTGAGAATCAGAACTTTCCGCTGGAGGTTATACAGCTGGTGAACGCGAAGAAGAAGACGGAAATATTGTCTATATAGCATTGTATTTAGAGGTCAGGTCTTGGTCAGATATGACTGAGCTAGTGTGTAACAGTAGTCAGTACCACTTGTCTAATAGGTACCAGGATGTATGTCCTGGGGAAGTAAATACGGCCGGTGTAAGGCTGGCCACGTAATTCACTTAGTGCCAACTGGTCTGTAAAAATACGGGTGATCTTCCCATATGCCCGATGCGTCTAAAGGCATGAGAAGGGATCTTCCCCTCACTAATACCTCTTGTCTTTTGTTAACGCCGAATGTTTGACTTCGTATACTAAACCAGAGATGCCGTATTGTGCCAGAGGCTTCAGGTGAAGAAGATTTTTTAGTGAGAATACTAGCCTTATCATAAGAAGGCTGAATACAACATGAAAACCGTATGTTATGACAGGGCTGGTCAGGCCCTTAGCCTTGGACGGCAGCTGGTCCAGGAGGGCTGCTACGACAGGCATGCAGAGAGAACACTGCTCATGTGATACAACAACTTCTCCAGCGTAGGTACAAAATCACAGAACAGCTTCTCCAGCATAGGTACAAAATCACACAACAGCTTCTACAGCATAGGTACAAAATCACACAACAGCCTCTGCAGCGTAGGTACAAAATCACACAACAGCCTCTGCAGCGTAGATACAAAATCACACAACAGCCTCTGCAGCGTAGGTACAAAATCACACAACAGCCTCTGCAGCGTAGATACAAAATCACACAACAGCCTCTGCAGCGTAGGTACAAAATCACACAACAGCCTCTGCAGCGTAGATACAAAATCACACAACAGCCTCTGCAGCGTAGATACAAAATCACACAACAGCCTCTGCAGCGTAGATACAAAATCACACAACAGCCTCTGCAGCGTAGGTACAAAATCACAGAACAGCTTCTCCAGCATAGGTACAAAATCACACAACAGCTTCTACAGCATAGGTACAAAATCACACAACAGCCTCTGCAGCGTAGATACAAAATCACACAACAGCCTCTGCAGCGTAGGTACAAAATCACAGAACAGCTTCTCCAGCATAGGTACAAAATCACACAACAGCTTCTACAGCATAGGTACAAAATCACACAACAGCCTCTGCAGCGTAGATACAAAATCACACAACAGCCTCTGCAGCGTAGGTACAAAATCACAGAACAGCTTCTCCAGCATAGGTACAAAATCACACAACAGCTTCTACAGCATAGGTACAAAATCACACAACAGCCTCTGCAGCGTAGATACAAAATCACACAACAGCCTCTGCAGTGTAGGTACAAAATCACACAACAGCCTCTGCAGCGTAGGTACAAAATCACACAACAGCCTCTGCAGCGTAGGTACAAAATCACACAACAGCCTCTGCAGCGTAGGTACAAAATCACACAACAGCCTCTGCAGCGTAGGTACAAAATCACACAACAGCCTCTGCAGCGTAGGTACAAAATCACACAACAGCCTCTGCAGCGTAGGTACAAAATCACAAGCTGCTTGTGCAGCGTAGGTACAAAATCCCAAACACTGAGGTGTTGGGGAAAAGCATGTGTCATAACAGTTTTCTTAATGCTCAGTCTTCGAAGGTTCATATGGCTAGAACATAAGTGGAGAATGAATGTTGGTAGATTCCATAAATTATGAGCTGGATTGTCTTCATAGCACTCCTGACACATCCATAGATGCTGAGATTTCCCCTTTAAACATATTCAACAGCCTCGCGTGGTTAATAGTGCCAATCATGTGCTGGTTGACAATACTTCGTCTGTGTCTGCTGTGCCCATCTTCACTCCCATTTCTCGTATTCTTAGCAGTGATGTGGACGCATTGCTTCCGAAATCCTCTAAACGTGCTATCTCTCCAAGGGCATTGACAATTCTGCGTGATCCACATGGGCAGACCATCTACAATTAACACGGAACCTGTCAGTCTATCAGCTCATTCACTGCCAACAACACCTGCATACTCAGGCCATAAGACAATCCCCTGTGCTGAATTACAGGTAAATATAAGATATTAAGGTGAGACTCTACTGTGATGCAAAGATGTGTGCAAACGGGACATGAGTGATACAGGTACTAAGGTAGATTCGTGGGTTCGTTTTACGGCGTTGTCGTTTAGTTCAAGAGTGCAACTTTACAGACATCCCTGGGGGTCATCACTAGAACTACGGAGCTCGTGCTCTGTGCATCTTTCTAGGCAGGCAGCTATCTGTTCTGCGGAGACACTGAGCCATATAGGATAAAGACGGGTACAATAATCTTGTTGCACAGCGGCAGTAAATCAGGAAGGAAATATGAATAAAGGAGAAAAGAACTGCAGGCGGCATAAAGGCTAGGTGTCTGAAAAGATCCTCTTAAAACACCTGTGCTGTCAAAAATAGAGCTGATATTCAAAGTTCTGATTGTTTGGCCACTTCAGAGGTCCCGGGTAGTTAGCATCCTTTGGATATTTTCTCAAAGTTATCCCGGTGTGTTGGGAAATGAGAAGAAAGATAGACCGGTTCCGCACCACTTGATGGTGATTTGATGTATGACAAGCTGGATGTTGTGAGGGCCCTTTGGAAACGAGTGAACAGTGCAGAGAAACAGATAGATCATTACGGTCTGAGAAGAATGGCACTGCGAGGAGTTACAAGGGGATCTGACCGACGCTCGACACTCGGGGGAAAGACTGATATACAATCAGACAGTTACTGGTACCATCGGAATTTTAACTCTTCGCTCGCTGCTGGAGTTGGGGACGGGGCGCTTATGGTGGTACATCGATTGCCTAGATGTCAATTCCTAATTCCACATTGTTTGAGATTTGTCTTATCGCAGCTGGGTCTTGCATTAACCACATCATTATTTTAAGCGCTTAAACATGGCTTAGGCTACTTTGTCTAACCGTAGTGAATAAAACATATGCGGCTAAATCCGATGCAATGGAGTCGAACCTCTCTATTTCAGTAGACCAGATTACTTTAATATTCGTGTAGTAAGTGTCCGAGGAAAAGAGAACTGGTCACAGCGGCTCATATATCCTGACCTAGACTATGTTAAATAACATTCCACATACAAACGCCAGCAGCAGCTATGAGCTGAATCTTACATGATAATCTGTTTTTACAGGTCAATGCTCGGATGTCGGGAGGTTCCGTGGCGAAGTGGTCAAGCCGTTTGCCTCTAGATCTGAAGGTCGTGGGTTCGTTTTACGGCGACGCCGTTCAGTTCATGAGTGCAACTTTACAGACATCCCTGGGGGTCATCACTAGAACTACGGAGCTCGTGCTCTGTGCACCTTTCTAGGCAGGCAGCTATCTGTTCTGCGGAGACACTGAGCCATATAGGATAAAAACGGGTACATTTATTTCGGTTCTCTCACCTTTACCCTTTAACCTTTAATCCCCAGAAGCTGCATCAGATCTACGCGCCCCTAGAAGTCAAGCCTATTAGGGTTCTACATTTACACTAATTAGCCGCCACGGACTGGGAAAACTCAGGCGTGGTCAATAGCAGAGACAATAAACAATAGCAGGGTTTTGGGGCTGTTGTTAATCACACAATGACTGACGCTAGTTTTGCATTTGATAACTTTGCCTCACTGGAAACAGCATGCCTGCTTGGACATTTAACTAGCCAGACACCATGCTTTTGTCTTGTTTACGTCTTTCAATTTTGTAACTGTGTGACATTTTTCTACCCCGAAAGCGAGGAAATTACACTTGTAGTCCGACTGAATAATTAAAACAGTTACACATGCACCGTTTACAAATGTGGCACAATAAACCTCAACATATTTTTGTTGCTTGCCATTTGCGTTTGTACTAGTCAAGGTATTCTCAAGAAGTTTGCCATTGCCAGCTAAAGGTTTGTGCCTCATAATATTATCGAAATCAAAGCAGAAGCTGGCTTGTGTCCAACTACCGCTTGGTGAAATCCAATAGATTCTGATTGCTAAATTAAATGACAAGAAATATTAACATTTGAAATAGAGTCACTGTAAATTCAAGATAATCAAGGCACTCCAATAAACTTTTAATACTATTTAAAGTTTAAACAACATACGACATGATTACTACAAGCTCTATCGGTATTAGAAATGTGACTTTTATTAAAGATGACAAAGCTTTAATAAGCGACGAGATGGTTTCGTACTTCACCCTGGTAAACACCTGTATAATAGGGCACTCCGTGACCATCATAGGGTTGGTTGTCAACGTACTCAACATCATTGTGTTTATCCGACAAGGACTGCAAGACTCGGTCACCATAAGTCTTCTTGGACTCAGTGTTTCTGATCTTGGGTCTTTGTTTTTTTCGTTTTTTGCAAACCTCTGTTGGACGCCACCAATACCAATGATGGACCTGCCATTCTACCCTCTACAGTTAATGTATTTTCTGGTGTGGACACATGTGGTCTTTACAAGAGTGACCACTGGGATAACAGCCTGGATTACATTTGAGCGATGTTTATGTATTGTGGTTCCTCTGAAGATTAAATCCATCATCACTCCCAGACGAACTGTGACGTTTATTGGTGTTCTCTACGTCATCATGTTTGCGTCTGCTGTTCCGGTTTTCTACAGCACCAGAGCAGTCTGGATATTTGATCCCCGCCGAAACAAATCGCGCCTGGGAATTATGAAAATAACCTCCAAAATTGATATAAACACCATTGCTTACTGGATCAATAACGTAATACCAACAATATTCTTCGTATTCATCACAATATGTACAGTTATTTTGGTGAAGGCGTTAAATAAACATGGGAAGTGGAAGCAACAATCAGTTTCTTCAGAGGCGCATGCAGTTATTTCAAGCAGGGACGCAAAGGTTGTTAAACTAGTCACCATCATCTCCATTGTTTTTATCGCCTGCTACGCCCCTGGAACTGTATATTTTATACTGGCTCTTGTAAATCCACAAACAACTTACGCTGGTAAACAGAGAAACTTGGTGTTGGTTATTTATTCAATTTTACTTGTACTAGAATCAGTCAATGCAGCTACAAATTTTTTCATTTACATTACCATGAGTTCAAAGTTCAAACGTGTGTTTCAAGACATATTCTGTGCTTTTTGCTATGTGGAGGAGAAGGGGAAAGAAAGCAGTGCTCAGATAATGGTCACTGAGTAATAGATAATGCACGGCGCACATTGTATGTACGAAAACACACGTACACACCAACGTACAAGCACTTACACTAACACGCAAACACATGAACACGCACCACACATTTACATACACGCATACAGTTACGCTTGCAAGCATCACAAAAACAGTGTATATTATCAGTAGTGTAGAGACTTAACAAAAAAGTACAAAATGTGAACAAAGGAATAGAACTTGATGCCGTTCGGCCTTGCTGTGACGAAAGCCATGTTCGGCAAAGGATCTGTATAACGATGATGAATTTGTAATCGTCAAATAAATATTCCTCGAGACAGTACAAACTGCATCCCATTTTATAAAATACTAAAATTAAATTACGCCCTGAAAAGCTGAAGTGTGTATTCGTTTATTACAATAATCATCATCCTCAACATTGTTTTCGTCTTCATCGTCAACACTCTTATCATCGTCGTCATCTTTAGCATTTTCATCATCAATACCATACAACTTGTAAATATTCGCTTACGGATCTGAAGGTCGTGAGTTCAAGTCCTGACGGAGCCTGACTATTTTTTTAAATTTTTTTTTTTCCATTGATCTAGACTCCCATTTCGACTTAGCCTTAAATGGGTACCAGGTAAAGTCCTGGGAAGAAATGATGACTGACGTTGACTCCCATCAGCCACCGAGTGTCAGTGTGTCTACACCAGTGTTTCCCAAACTTGGTGGGTCCAAGTCCCCATTTTCCCTTTCGGTGAAAAAATCGCTCAACGCCAACTTCATTTTTTTCCTGGAATTATCGTCATTATCATGTGTCACGCTTAAAAGCATAAGCGGCCATAATTCGTCATCGTTAACGATCAGCAGAATGACGGATAAAGTGGTTTTGCGCCTTCCGTCCCATGCGTGTGGCCTAACTATCAGCGGAATGACGGATAAGGTGATGTTGCGTCTTCCGCCCCTTGCATGTAGCCAAACGATCAGTAGAATGACTGATAAGGTGGTTTTGCGTCTTCCGTCCCATGCGTGTGGCCAAACAATCAGCAGAATGACGGATAAGGTGGTGTAGCGTCTTCCGCCCCTTGCATGTGGCCAAACAATCAGCAGAATGACCGATAAGGTGGTGTAGCGTCTTCCGCCCCGTGCATGTGGCCAAACGGTCAGCGGAATGACGGATAAGGTGATGTTGCGTCTTCCGCCCCTTGCATGTAGCCAAACGATCAGCGGAATGACTGATAAGGTGGTGTTGCTTCTTCCGCCCCTTGCATGTGGCCAAACGATCAGCGAAATGACTGATAAGATGGTGCTGCGTTTTCTTCCCCTTGGATAAAGCCAAACGATCAGCGGAATAACAAATAAGGTGGTGTTCGTCTCCCGCCTCAGGCATGGTGACAAGCGATGAAGGTATACGTCTCTTCTTTCTCCCTCTGCCCTCTTTCTATTATTCTTGTTAGTTATCACCAAGTTCTCAAGTCTATTCCTTTCCTTGATATATATCATCTGCGATCAAACAAACAGGAATCATAGACTGGTAAAACTAAAGAATATCATATTCTTTAACGAGAAGGATGGATCTCATTGGTTATAACACCATCTTTGTGTCTAGTTTAAAGAAAACAAAAGCAATCACTGCGGTTTTAACCTGTTACATTAAACAGGGACAGCTGCAAAAAGTTGTTGAAAATGCTCTCCCTCTATCTCTCTCTCTCTCTCTCTCTCTCTCTCTCTCTCTCTCTCTCTCTCTCTCTCTCTCTCTCTCTCTCTCTCTCTCTCTCTCTCTCTCTCTCTCTCTCTCGCTACTGCTGTCTTAGTTTCGCTAAATGCTTCCCGGCTACCTCCCTCTGGAGCGTCCCAGCGCTCCCAAATTTCATCGAGGCCAGTACCGCGCCCTGTGCCACCCGAGCACCCCTAACAGGGGGTGGTGTCATACCACCCACTTAGGCAAACAGCGGTCTATAAAGTACAGGTCTAGCCCTATATGCCCAGTACGCATGAAGGCATGGAGAAGGACCCTTTTCGATATTATAGTTCGTTCAACAATTCATGACTACCTTTGCGATCTATTTTCTCGAAAACTGTCTGTTAGATCGGAATAGTCTTTTTTGCATGAAGCCTTTGAATATCCGTGACGTAAAGGAGTTCTATTATTTAGTTCATATATGCTCTGTGGTTTGCTCTATAACGTATAGTCAGAATGCTGTTGGCATCATTGGTATTGGAACTCTGCGCTGGCTGCTGAAAATGTGGACAGAGCGCTTATGGGAATGCCTCTAGTTCTGTGATGCTGGTTCTTGAATTAACTCAACTCAACTCAGGACTTTGTTAATCAGCCAATTCCTTTGATCTTCAACCATTGTAAAATAAGTTAAATGAAATTTGAGATGTTACAGAAAAAAAAATTTTTTCGCAGAGTAAGTAAGAAGTAAAAAGTAAAGTTCCCTTTTCACGCCTTTCGGCGCATCGGGCATATGGGCAGAGCGTCCCATATTTTTACAGACCATCAGCACTCTGTGGGTAATGTGGTCAGCATTACGCCGGCTGTCTTTACTTTCCCAGGACAGCCCATCCTGGTACCCATTTTAGGCTGGGTCGACCTGCGACGTCCCATGCCACGACAAAAATCCACGCAGCCTGCTGTGGGTTTCGATCGCGGTATACTGGCTCACGAGTCGGACTCGCAATTTTAGCAGAGTATCGTCATAATAAATGATGCTCCAAACAGATCAACGCCTGTTTTGTTTGTTTTAATGGGTCATGTATATCACAATATACATGACCCATCTGAAATTTCCGGCGGAATTGCTGGTACAGTAAAATAGTAAACCTTCTGCATAGTTATACATTTGCAACTCATACTTACTATGAATACTAATGTCTTTGTCATTGATGATAAGCAAACTATAGAACACAACTCAACAATAATTAGTGGATACGCCTTTAACTAAACAACCTTGAACAACGTATTATTTCGGGTTCCGTTCACTAACAGTATGACTTTGCACAAGAAAATCGTGAAATTACATATTTTGACACTCTGCTCAAACCGTTCTTCTTCTTCTACTTCACTTACTCTTTTACCGCTGTGGGTGTCGAGGGAGATATATGGTTCTGTTTCTAGCGCTCAAACCGTTGCAATGTCCTTATTAACATTCTTACTTCCTACCGTTACTTCCTGAAACTAAGGAAAGCAAACCTTTCGAAAGTCTACCAAGATGGTCCATGATAAAGATATATATATATATAGTTAAGATCAGGCACTGATCGTGTTCTCACTGCGCTTTGGGACATGTGGTGCATGGCCATGATGTTATCTTGCCATTGTTCTTGTATCCAAAATCCTCAAAAAAGCCCATACTTTTTTTTTTTTTTTTTTTGTCTACTTTAGCAGCATTCTTTTATTGATCTAAAATTGCAATATTTAGGTCATTGTTATATTAAATAACATAAATAATAATATATTTTTTTCTTTGGTAGCGTCAGGAATTTTTAAGGGTATGTCAAACAATTTTGAAATTGAATAGTTCTTATGATAATCCGAACTTTTAGTATTTACGTTATGAAAAAAAAAAAAAAAAACAATACGTTGGCAGCTTTACGGGGTGAGTGATTTACGTTGTGCCTTGTCCCACATAAACAAAAAACAGAAATCCTATAGACAAAACTGAGTCAATCATAATATTGATATTTGGGTACTAAACAATACATTTTTGGCGACTGTTTATTTTAGTTTTTTGACACTTTGTTTTATAATGATGTTTTCTTCCACGTAACTATTAACAGTGCTACTGGAAGAATTATGACTTTCCAAGCTAATCATGTGTACAATTGTTTAGTCAACCTTTAAGTCTGACTAATATTGCCTTTAATACCGTTGTTTCGTTGATCGTCATTTCTGGCTAATTACTGCCTTCTGTACCGTTATTTCGTTCATCGTCATTGCTAGCCACTGACTTCTATACCGGTGTTTCTTTGATCCTCATGTCTAGCCACTGACTTCTATACCGGTGTTTTGTTGATCCTCATGTCTAGCCACTAACTTCTATACCGGTGTTTTGTTGATCCTCATGTCTAGCCACTAACTTCTATACCGGTGTTTTGTTGATCCTCATGTCTAGCTAATTACTGCCTTCTGTACCGTTGTTTCGTTGATCGTCATGTCTGGCTAATTACTGACTTCTGTACCGTTGTTTCGTTGATGGTCATGTCTGGCTAATTACTGCCTTCTGTACTGTTGTTTCGTTGATCGTCATGTCTGGCTAATTACTGACTTCTGTACCGTTGTTTCGTTGATCGTCATGTCTGGCTAATTACTGCCTTCTGTACCGGTGTTTCTTTGATCCTCATGTCTAGCCACTGACTTCTGTACCGGTGTTTCTTTGATCCTCATGTCTAGCCACTGCCTTCTGTACCGGTGTTTCTTTGATCCTCATGTCTAGCCACTGACTTCTGTACCGGTGTTTCTTTGATCCTCATGTCTAGCCACTGCCTTCTGTACCGGTGTTTCTTTGATCCTCATGTCTAGCCACTGACTTCTATACCGGCGTTTCTTTGATCCTCATGTCTAGCCACAGACTTCTATACCGGTGTTTCTTTGATCCTCATGTCTAGCCACTGACTTCTATACCGGTGTTTCTTTGATCCTCATGTCTAGCCACTGACTTCTATACCGGTGTTTTGTTGATCCTCATGTCTAGCCACTGACTTCTATACCGGTGTTTTGTTGATCCTCATGTCTAGCCACTAACTTCTATACCGGTGTTTCTTTGATCCTCATGTCTAGCCACTAACTTCTATACCGGTGTTTTGTTGATCCTCATGTCTAGCCACTAACTTCTATACCGGTGTTTTGTTGATCCTCATGTCTAGCCACAGACTTCTATACCGGTGTTTCTTTGATCCTCATGTCTAGCCACTAACTTCTATACCGGTGTTTTGTTGATCCTCATGTCTAGCCACTAACTTCTATACCGGTGTTTTGTTGATCCTCATGTCTAGCCACTGACTTCTATACCGGTGTTTCTTTG